TTAGAATAGTAAATTGTTACCATTGAAAAAATAATTCTTTTACATTTACTGTATGTAACTTTAGAATTTTGCTGTCGGATCTATCTTTCATGGTGCTAGATTTCAAAATAACCCTCAACAAAAGTCAGCTTTTAAACATGAAAAGCAGTCGAATAAATGAGAAATACTATTATCGTCTTGCACTTTACAGAGTCATGGTATTCAAAAGAAATTTAAAAAAATGATTTGCACTGTTTTTGAGTCAGTGCAAGGCAAATGACTGCTTTAAAAAGAACGGATATATAGACGGCTACATTTGACGAGAAACCACATCAGCCAAGAATATATCAGAATCCCACCTATAATTATGTGTGAAATTTGTTTTAAAATAGTTAAATAAGTTTAAAAATAAGATAGAAATCACTTTTAAGATATATTTTGTTTTGGTATGAGACTTTTATTTGTACGAAAAACCATCTGAACTTAGAAAGTGCGTTAAGCTGTATAAACTCACACTTTCCGAAGATCTGATTGATTCCTAAAGTGAAAAAATATAATTAATTTCTTTATTTCATCACATTTTTTGATAACTCACAGCATCATTTGGCTTTATTGGTTTATTCTTCTTCCACTCAGGAGGAATAATACATTCCGGACAGCCTCCAACTGGAAGATCCAACTTCTGTCCACCCGAATCCAAAGTAACATGACCATTCCTTATCAGTTTTTCTGCCTCTTTAAAATTAAACGTTCATGTAGAACAATTTAAAATATTTATTGTAAAAGGTCATTATAAATTCTGAATTTGACACTCTGTGTCATACAAATATTTAAAAGTAGCATTTTCATTTTTGCTAAATGATATTGAAATATATGTGTTTTACGCATTAACATTATTTTTTCCTGTTACATGTACTTGAATTCATTGGTCTGAAAGTAAATATACCAGGTAATAAATATATTTTGTGTGTTTAGATTTTGTTACCCATATTTTCAAAGCCAAAATGGCGAATCAAAGTTTTACGTAGGTTTTAAAGGGAAATCTTTAAAATCATCTTCGCAAGTACTTCAAAGCCATGATTAGAGATATTTATATGGAATCATCCTCAGGTAGTGTAGATTCTAGTTTGTTCAAATCACAACCCCCCGGAGATAGGGTGCGGCCACAATGGGGGATCCAAGTTTTACTTTAAAATATATTTTAAAAACTTCTCAAGAATAGCGAAGCCATGATTAGTGGTACTAGTATTTATATGGAAGCATTCTCAGGTAGTGTAGAATTAAATTTGTTTAAATCATAACCCCCAAGGGTCGGTGGGGCCACAATGGTGGATCAAAATTTTATGTAGAAAAATAAAGGGAAAAATTCCAAGATCCGAAAAGCTATGTTTAGTCATATTGGCGTGTAAGCACCCTCATGTACTGAAGATTTTAATTTTTTTTCAAATCATGGCCCTTTGGGGTACATATGTAGGGAGCGAAACAATGGGGAATCAAATTCAAATTATCATGAAGAAATATATGGGAACAAAATGTTCAAAAAGAATTTTTTTATCAAGAACAGCAAAGACATGTACTGTATTGATATGAAGGCATTCTCATATTGCATTAAAATTCAAGCCCTCCTCAACCACCTCGATAAATTTTCAGTTCTGATCTAATATGTGGACTCTGGGCCTCTTGTTTATATTTCTATGAATTTACATTAAATTTAACTTAAGCATCAACATTAAATTTTGCTGTTGGCTTCAATTTAACATTAAGCTATTTCGATTCAGATATATAGAAAATTTTTTATCAATTCACATTTATCCTTCCATATACAATGTATGGAAAACTTAGTTAATTCAATACGCAAGAGATGCTCTATGTGTTTTTGTATTTTTCTAAAACGAGGTGAACTATTGGCAAAAAGTTGATGAATTACTTTAAGAATATGAGAAGTCTCGTTTAAAGTCGTACGTTCTATGGTCGATACAATGACGTTGTCTGCAAATACTATTTAGATTGACTCAAATTCTGATGGACGTTTTCCATACCAATTATTAGTCCATTCTTTACGAACAGGCGAGTATAACCTCAATCCTCCGTGGCACCTGATCCCACCTCTTATGTTTTGGAACTTCAAGTTTGCTCTGCTCCTATTTTGTATTGTTTTATGTACTTTTGAGTCTGAATACAGTTCATTATTGCCATATATTTCATATATAGATCTCATTATGTGCTGAAAGTTTTTGCCGTTATCTGATTAGACTGATGTTTAGCAATTCACTGTTATCGTTTTTGACTTCCTTATTTGGAAATTATCCAGATCTGTTAAATGATCGGTACCGATATTAATCTTACCATTTATTTTTTTTTTTCAAATTCGATCTTACCTTCTGTATTCGTCATCAGGATGATCCATCTTACTTTCCCACTGCCAATAGTGGGTAAAAAATCGCAATGCGATTTTTCAACACCACGGATACTGTATAGACACTCCTCCTTCACTTCCTCTGGAACTTCTTTGACCAGCACACACCGTCTACGTATAGATTCATTGCTAAACATGCTTAGCTACTGAACGTTAAGTTCCCTTACATGATATCTCTTTTGCATTTAGCAAAAAAGTACTTTCGCATTAATCAAATGTTTGGAAAAAACCTTTTCTTTACTTAATTCTAGCATAAAATTTTCTACTAGTTTCGATTCCTTTTTCATTGTGTATTGGTTCATTGGTGCATGTGAAAAGAGTGGTATTTAACATTTTGCAAATCATGGATTCATATTTCGATCAGAGTTTTGATCCCATAGCATTTACTTTCATGCTTATTTGGTGACTTTTAAATTTTTTGATAAGCTTGACATGACCTGAGGACATATTCAAATATAATACGCAATACACAAAATTGGTAATTTTTTAGATTAAAATCAATTATCATGGATGTTCAGTATATTAAGATTTTATACAGAACAAGAACACAATGATAGGAGGATTGCGATTTGTAACTATAATTACAGTCATCTAAGAATGGCAGACACAGAAAAAGACATTTTTTAAATTAGAAAATATAAATACCGTATAGCGGGTATTTTAGCGGGGTGCTAATTTTGGCTTATTTTGGCATTTTGATGGTAGCCCGCTAAAATCTAAATCGCTAAAATACTCTGTACACTTTTTTATGGCGCCGCTGTAGGGCCAGGTAAAATAAATATTTTTTTTTGTTCGGACAAATTAGAAATTCGTTCCGACCAATTAGATATTTGTTCTGACAAATAAGTTATTTGTTCGGACGAATTCGATATTTGTTCGGATAAATAAGAAATTTGTTCGGGCAAATTAGAAATTCGTTCAGACAAATAAGTTATTTGTTCGGACGAATTAGTTATTTGTTCGGACAAATTAGAAATTCGTTCGGACAAATCAGTTATTCGTTCGGACAAATTAGAAATTCGTTCGGACAAATTAGATATTTTTACGGACAAATTAGTTAAAATGTGAACAACTGTCATGACACCGCGATTAATTTGCAATTTGCATCAAAACGTTTCATTTTATTTTGATTCTTTGCAAATACATTTCATGAACAACATCACCAATAAATATTTTGAAAATATGTCGTTTTCATGTTCATCCCTTCATTATCATTTCTGTGTAAAAAAATCACTTCCCTGCATTTATTAATTATGACATGTTAATGATTTTTGAAAAACATTTCTGGTACATGTACATATGTCGCCGATTTGTGGCTGAAATATTGCCAATTCGGCGTTAAACCAATCTAACAATTAAACTGGTACATATGCTGTGTATAAAATTTAAAAGGTCCTCAATGAGTTTGAAATATTCCTGTTTGTAAATTAAGAAAACCTCTTTGTATTGATCACATGTTGTTCCTGTGACTCGGGAACCAGTGAATTTCCTCGCATTTAATGATGATATCACCCGGTTAATCAGGTATATTCCTTAATCCATAGCTTTACAGAGCATAATTATAGCCAACCCCCAACCAACCCCCCCCCCCCCTCACCCTTATCGAAGAGGTACATGTAGTCGAACAAAATTTTGAATTTCACTAGCAGCATTTCTTAATTTTGTTTCTACAAATTTACAGTACCAGTTAAAAGGTTTGATAGGCTAATGACTAACTAGAAAGGGTACATTATGAAACCAAATCCTTTTATGGGGTAAATAAATCATGAACGAATGAATGAAAAAATATTTTCAAGTAACAACCCCCCTATATTTTAAAACAATCAGTTGTCCTAATTATAAAGAAGCTTAATTTGCATTAAATTATGGTATTTTTGTGCTTTTAAATTTTACTGCACTATCTAGGAACGTACATGCATTAATCTATTTTTTTACCCTTTTTTTCGGGAAGGGGTGTGTGTTTAATTTGGTCTATATTACCTGCATGTTTTAGACTTCTTATTACATGTACATAAATTCTTGCGCTTTTATGATATGTAAAATTTATATAGATACTTAATAATAGTATTTGATAGTTTTTAGAAAGAATCCATTAGATGGATTTTATGAGATTCCCACTTTTTGTTCTTTATAATAAAAATACTTAATTGTGGAAACAGCGGTATATAAACAAAACTACAATTGTCCTAGGTAGTAAGCTCCTCCCTAAAAAAATTAAGAACCTTCGGATAAGAGGCTTGGTATTTCGAGTCCGATGATTATTTAATATAACACAGTAGGAATAAAACCTTGAGGAATGGATCTCAATTTTTTAAAAGAAGTGGTAATTGAAAATGGCACCTCAGCGTTAACATTTTAACATCACAAGCAAAAGGTAGTCTTGAAGAAGCCTATGATGTTTATTTATGACAAATCTTATGAGTGTGTCAGGGATAAAAGTGAAAAAAATGTTTAATAAGACGTAACGGACCCTTTGAACTAGTGGGCTCTTAGATAATATATTTTTAGAATGGCAGACTTAAGGCCTATAATAGATATTTTACATAGTACCATCATTTCCGAGTATTTACAATCGATATATCCGACTTCAATAGCACATGACTTGTTACAACGTGTGTATGTCATGGTCCAAAGAGCTATTTATGTATTAAAAAGGGGTGATTCCTTCTGAATAAACAAATTGTATATATCTCTAGACAAGATAATTTGTGCAAACATCTAATTTCTACGAACAAATATCTAATTTGTCCGACAAATAACTAATCCGTCCGAACGAATTTCAAATTCGTCCGAACAAATAATTAATTCGTCCGAACAAATAACTAATTTGTCTAAACAAATAACTAATTCGTCCGAAGAATTTCTAATTCGTCCGAACAAAAATCTAATTAGTCCGAACAAATATCTAATTCTTCCGAACAAACAACTTATTTGTCCGAACGAATTTCTAACTCGTTCGAACAGATTTCTAATTTGTCCAAACGAATTCGTCCGAACAAATGAAAATATTATTTTCCCTGGCTCTCCAGCAACGCCTTACTTTTTAGTGTTTTTTCTGGTAAGAGCTGAAACTCTATGTCCGCTAAAATAAACAGGCAAAACGCAAAGAAAACCCGCTATACGGTATCCATGTATCCCGATAGTGTCTTGCTAGTCTAAAATCATTTTTCGTGAAGCGGATTATAAAAAAGCGTAAACTGCCCCAAGTTATGTTATATTGTATAATATAAGTCGAAATATGCTTCATTCCTTATAATTTAATTTCAGTGTAGACAATGAGACAATTTTTCCTCCAGAAAAAGGCTTCAAATATAGCATGTATTTTAAAAGTAACGTCAAGCGGAGTAATACGTTTTTGACGAAACTCATTGTGACGTAGGCAAGTTATGTTATACAAAATATTATATGTACCTCTGAATGATTTAGCCAATGAAATTAAATCATATTCTTTTAACAAATTTGTCGTTGTATCGAATTGAAAAATATTTTCAAAAGGTACAAAATGGGCTTGCGAAATGCAAGGAGTGTGAAAGGGAATACAGTGTATAATCAAGTTGTAGACAGTGTACTTATACATAGTTTAAAGTTTTTTAAATACTCGATCTTTCTTTTAAAATAATTGTTAAGATGAGATCTTAGTACTTTCTCCCGGGTTTGTTATTCTTAAGTTTTTTTCTAATAAAATAGCGTTTACAGTAGGTTATACTAGTATTTGATCTTTGTTTCTGTAGAGGCATTCAACAAATCTTCCTCATCTTTTATTGGAAGTACAGCGACAATAATCCACGCATAAACTTGAACAGTTACATCAATACCCATGAACGTCAGAAGACCTTAATATTAAATGAAAAGATTTAACAATATCAAACAAAAAACAAATCGATGCTAATGTAAATTTCATTCATTCAACATTATCTAAAATGTGTAATATTTTTTACCTATAGCTCCGATAGGAATCCAACACAGCATATCTGTAACTGCAACTGTAATTAAAGTCTTTGCTATGCCCATTTCTCGTCTTCTCTGTTGACTGAATGGATGCAAGGCTGTTTTCTTTCCCATTCGAACAACATCCGTAAATATTACAAATTGTCCAATGAGAATTGCAATAAAGATTATGAAGTTTGCTCCAACAAATATAATCATGGAGTATTCCCATCCCGATTTTCGTAGAACAGACAAAGGCAAATAAATACATACCCCGGAACTAGAATAGTAGTCATCGAAATATTCACTTCCGGTAAGTGGTATTAAAGACAGAAAGAGAGCAATAGTCCATACCAAGCTGGAATTGAGTTTTGATACCCAGATCCTTTTCTTGAGAATTGAAAACGGAAATCGCACTATAAGTATTCTGTCAATAGTGATCAAAAGTACGAACAAAGCAGATGCCTCACTGGAAAGAGTAGCCAGGACACCAGCAAAGATGCAATAAGGACTGTGTCTCCATGAGAAATCTTCAAAACCATAACGACCACTGAACGCTATGTTAGCCCCGGCTATAATGTAAAGATAAACGCCCATAAAGAAGTCTGCAAGACCTAGATTTAAAGAATAAATGTCAAACGTTGTGACTGGTTTCTTCTTTATATGATATAGTCTGTAAAATATACCAGACATATTCCCAAACAGAGCAAGAAGAGCAATATACCAAATGATTATCCTCAGAATATGTAAATCTATCAAATTGTAGCAGGAGGATATTTCATTTACTGGAGCTACACACTGAATCTTGCTGACAGCTTTAGGTTGTGCACAACAGAGGGTGTAAGAATCAACCTGAAGATAAAGAATATTCATAAGACTGTCAAACATTCCCTCCACCACTTTAACATCATTATTCTGCATGTTCAGGTACTGCAGTCTTGACAGATACATGAAATGACCACGGTTAAGATTTCGTAGATTATTATTTGACAAATCTAAATGAGTAAGCTTAGTAAGTTTATCAAAAGCTTTTTCTTGGATATATGTCAAATGATTTTCATGAAGAATAAGGTACAGGAGATTAGGTAAGTCTTCCAAATCTTCATTATTGATTCTGAAAATCTTATTGTAAGAAAGATCTAAATACTGCAGGCGAGCCTCTGACTGTCGGTTATCAAGAGTGTAGTGCAATGATGTGATCAAATTATGATGTAAATAGAGCAATTGTGTGTATGATATAAGTGTCCATGTCTTCAAGAAGTTGTAACTTAAATCAAGTGTAATGGCATCATAGAGAGAACCAGGCTGTTGTTCAGTCAGATTACAAACACTGAAGTTAGCAACCAAATAACGCAGGTTTTGTACAAACCCATAGAATCCTTCAGACTCTGACAATCTAAAATGGGTCCCATAGAGTCCCTTGAGATTGGTGTTCTTATTAAATAGAGAGCTTTTATGAACATACCATTCTTCAAAATAACCCCTTTTTCGATGAAAGTTAAGCCTTTGAAACGAGCTCTCAATTATACGCACGTATTGTATCTTATCTGTGCCATAAACAAAGAAAGAGAGGTATTCAATTTTACTGTATTTGATTGAAATGCTCTCAATGTTCTGATTTTCACCAATTTTGAGAAATTGAAGGGTACAATTAAAAATGTTGAGCGCCCTTACATTGGGAAACTTTTCCTTGGTTATTTCTAGGTTTTCTTGAACAAGACCATGCCAGGTTATAAAAGTAGCATAAGTTGGCACGTTGTCAGAAGAACAGTTAACAGACAGACCAACACAGAGACAGTCAGGGGGACAATATAAGAAACAGGTATCAGAAGAATTCGATAGACACTGGTCCTTCTTTTGACATTGATTTGAAAGAAGAATGAATTGTCTCCAAGAATCATTTATTGTTCTCTGTGGACTGTTCTGTGTTTGAGGCAGAGTTTTAATTGGTAGCAATGAACTTCCGTTTATTCTGCAAGATGATTCAATGACATCCCAGTCTGAAAAAAAAATAATGGCAAAACATGAAAATATTTCAAGTATTTGATTTTTCTGGAATGTGAATTATTTTCTTTTCCAACTGAATTGTGTACAATAATGAGTAAACCCAAATGTTCAATTTTTTTAAGATAAAAGTGAACATCAAAATTCTAGAAAAAGATATAAATAGCAAATCCACTTATTTGTTATTATAATTAAAATTCCATTTTTTTGGAGACTGACTTTTTATTTGAAATAAAATGTCAATCGTTTTGTAACGTGAAACTTGTAACTTGAAAAACAGCAACACTTAATATCTTAAAATGTTATCAGTTCATAAATCCTTTTCTCCTGTTTCAAGAATCTTCAGTTTAATGAATATGTATATGAAGTATTTTGTATTTAAAAAAAGAAACCAGTAGACATTTTTGCGATAAATATAAGTACACATTAAGATACATTTAAACGAAAACATACTACAATTATTTTCATCCTCTTCTGCTATACAGTCGGGTTCAAGATCACATACTTTGTCAAACGGAACACACTCATCACTGGTATCACTACATTTGAATTCATGAGGACCGCACTTTTCTGTAATTAATCAGAAATAATACAACATATCCCTCCAAACATTATTTTATATGATAAGTTTGTACCTTTCACTTTATTTTAATTTATTCTTAATCAACCCATAAATTGATTCTGAATTATTTCAAATTTTGAATAATTAAGCATCCATCAGCATTTTATATTTTTTACTTGCCACATATTCCATCGGTGATTGTTATATTATCAATGAGAAGAAATCCATAGGAAGATTTCACAAAAATTGCACGAAACACCACCTTAAAAAAAATTAATAATGAATTCATAAGAAAGAGGAAAGATGACCAAGAATTAGGATTATAAATTACATGATAAGATAACTTTACCTTAAATTTTACTCCAACAGGAAGAGTAGCAGATGCACGGTTAAATTTTACTACATGTGACTGGTGGAAGTTTAAATGATCAGAAAAGTCATATGGATGGAAGAAATCTGTTATGTACCCTACAACAAGGGTGGTTTTTTCATAAGCCAAAAAGTTATAGCGAAGACAGCGGTGATTCATTGAGATTGAGATTTCTGGTGAAACTACATCAGTGACTTGCATTCCATTTTGAACTTTATTATTAAAATCTCTTGCTGCGGCAAGTACATTGTTTTCTTCAAGTTTTTGAAGCATGCCCACAACAAAATCAGAAATGCTAGCTCCAAGCGCTATGGAATAAAAAAGAAAAAAATATATATAAAAACAGTTAGGATTGTGGGATGCTAAAATGGAAACATATTATTAAAAAAAAGAAAAAGCTGAACTGATTGTGTTTGTCATATTCAGATGTAAGTTGGTCCTTGTGTATGGTCAGTAAAACGCCTTATATGAAAAAGATGCGTCAAAGTCCGCAGTGTCTTCTATTTCAAGCTTTTTATATATATATATATATATATAGGAAATATATTGTTATATAAATATATATATGTATACTTCTTTGTGAATTGAGAATTTAAAGTTTTTATTTGAATGACATGGAAATTTCTTATGAGATTTCAAATCTACTAAAAGTTCTTTCGCGTTTTTATTTGTCCTTTTGCATGAAAGCATAATATAGGATCACTGGTTCATGTTGCTGCATTATATTTTTTGGAAATTTCATTCCCTGCTTTTATACTTTTTGAGGGGCGCTCAATAAATCATTTAAGGCTTTATAAAACACTTTTTATCTTTTGATAAATATCTGTTAGTGATTCATGTCAATGTCAAAGTTTCAGTAATTCTACAGGAATACAGGAATACAAGCTTTGTTTTAAAGACTCATTATAATTATACATTTCAAAGAAAATTTTATTTTTTGACAGCAAATCTAACATGATACTCGAATTATACTTTCAAAAGAATATTTTCTTCAAACATTAATGCCAGTTTTATACAGTTAAAAAATTGCAAACAAACAGATGGACTTCGATTTGTAAATTTTTAAATCATTATACTATAAGTATTTCAACTACATGTACTTTTTTTATATACTTTTTGTATTTACAACCTATTTTACAACCTCTTCTTTACCAATGTTTACATTACAATTGTACTTTAATTTTGTCCTATTTATCATGCTGACTTCTGATGACTCTATGATGTACAGTATACATTACTTTTATTATTACTGCTGCAAATAAAATTTTTCCTCCCTATCCCCCTAACAACAACCACGGCATATCAATAACAAAGCTGGTTATACTTACATGTTAAATAGGCTTCCAGTGAGGTGGTATTTTTTCTTTGCCATCGCACTGCTGTTTGAAAATCGTCGTTACTATTGCACTTCCCAGGATTCCCTCCCCATCCACAGAGGACAGCGTACGTTTGTAACTGGACTTGACTCTTGTATGACGTCCAACCACAATTGTTTATTTCAAAATCACATGCCACTAAACGTGAAAAAAAGGTTCTAGTTGCTGAGAGAATTTGACTCAAACCACTTTTTAAAAATGAAGACAAATCAAAATGAAGCCTTAACAATACGATTAATTAAAAAGCCATCTGAATTCCTTTTAGCTACACATTATATGGATCAAGATATAGAAAGGCGAATTATTCCAGTCTGTCATATACTAAAAAAGACATCGATGTAATATGAAGTGTTTAAATGAGGAAAAATAATAAAGCGCAAAAAAGGTTTGACATATTTCGGCTGTATCTGTCATAAAATGAATTATGATATCCAATGGCAGACAATAGATTGTTCAATTATTTTCTACATGAAATAGCATGTTTAAAGATTAAAACAGCTGTATATATCGTAAAAAAATATATCATTTTCCGAGTTCAGAGTAAAAGTCAAAATGTCCGTCGGCTTGTGGTGCTTCTCAATATGAAAAAAAAATAAACGTTTCACAACAAACAGTTTGTGACAAATGTCGTTTTAATAACAATTTATGGTACAAAGGTAAAAAATCATTTATGCAATGTACTTACCGTTGTTATCAAAGTTCTCCTCAGCAGAATATAACGAAAAGAGAACCACAGCAATTATAATCAATTGGTTGATTGTGAATCTTCTAATCATTTTCTCAATCCTCCCTAAGTATTGAATTGGACAGAATCTATAAGTGAGCAAATTTATATGCCGGAATTCTGTATACTCGTATTTAAAAATCAATAAAGAAATTTGAAAACTATTGCATGTTAATGTTGTTTTAGGAAAAAAGAGAACATTATTTCATGATATATTATGTTTTCCTTACTCTTTACAACTTGATTAAGTACTAAAATACAGAATATCAATAATTAAAGCACGTAACGGATTTATATATCAAAAATGATTTAGATACATATGCCTGCATTAATATTAATAATTAATATTAAGATTAGAATATTGCATTTTATTATCAAAATGAAGTTTGTGTTTTCTTAAAACAGAGTACATATGAAAGAAATACCTTATCAATTTTCAAAATAAATTAATAAAAATTCAAAGCTACAGTTTTAGTGCAAATAAATGTAAATTTTTATTAGCAATTGCAAAAAAGTAAGAGCATTTAAACAATAAAACACAATTGCAAAAATGTAAGTGCATGCATATTTCTAAGTTGGTGGCAATATTTAAGATTTCCAGAATATCTGAATCGTTAAGAAAGACCAAAACCTTTGCATGACTTCATTTTTATATATATCAGTACTGCTTACAGTTTTCTGACCAATAGGATATAGAATATGAAACTGGAGTTTAATAAAATTGCTTAATCCAACTGTACAATGGCAGATCAATCAAAGAAAATATGTAAAAGTAAATTTACTTGAGGCATAACTTTTAAAAAGTCAAAAAAGAAACCCCATATCCTATATTGGCTAATTAATATCATGAGGAACTAAATAAGTAAGTAATTTGTTCATTTATAGTGACATTTGTACAGTTAAATTCTTTTGTTTAAAGACAGTATAGAATTACAATCAACATCCGGCCCATCTGGCCTATATGCCACTTTAAACACAAAATTTGAATTCAATATAGAAAGAAAATAGGGAGCAGAACGTAAAGAGAATACCAAACAGTTCATGAAAATAAACATAATTGTGATAAATATTTATCTATACATTTTGTACGATAAGATTGGTAGTGTTTGTTATAAGGATTATTATTAGATGAAAATGACATTGAAATACATTATTATTTTCTGAACATGAATATTCTTTGCATATATGAAAAATACATTTTATATAACCTGTTTAAGAAGATTCAAATAGTATACACTTGTATTTCCAAATTGTACTATCATTTGAAAATGTAAATATATCAGTTTGTGAAATTCTTATGAAGCAAATCATACAAGGACAAGAGTAGAAAAATTAATTTGTCGTAATTTCTAAAAAAAGTCGATAAAAATTATCCTCATCCCATTTTGTTGGCAAGAGGAAACTATTAATGAAAGAATCTACGAGGAACTAATTAAAGTACAATTAACGTCTAGATTATCAAATATACATTTTTACTATTTATATTAATCGTGTTTATATCGTATACTATAAAAAATAAAAACGACTTATAAATACTATATAACACACAAAATGAAATTTCAAAATAGAATAAGGAAGGTTTTTTATAAAATTGTCATATATTATAATATATTAATTTAATATCAGATAAAAAAGGAAAAATTATAATAATATTATATATACTTTATAGTGAATTAATTTGTGTGTAACTTATGCAAATACATTAAAATATATATATGGAAAGAATTAATTCATTCTTCGTTTAAGGCAGTGTGCGCAATTTACATAACAAAAAGGTCCTGCACAGTTGTAAAAGTTGTATTAAAAAAGTGTTTATATCAAATACACTATAATAATATTGTTTCAAATTTAATAATAATGTTGTTTTTCTGATTAAAAATGTTTTAAAATATCTGCATTGTCTCGAGTACGTTGTATTAGATAGCAACTGACCAATGGGGAAGGATAGTAACGACAGCGCAAGAATTTTCATTTTTTTTAAACAATATATTCCTGATACGTGCCGATTTGCCACATATAACATTTTTCAAGATTCAAATACCACTTGTAATCAGAAGTTGTACTATCAAAAAGAAAATGTAAATATATCATATATATATATATAATATATTACGGAAGCAAAGCTACATAAGGAAGAGTGTGAAAGATTAATTAGTCTATCAAGGCATAACGGTTTATATAAAAGGCTAAAAATGTGTTAAATCCAATTTTTGCAATTAGAAAGGGGAAACAATTAATGAAAGAATAAAGGAACTAATATAACGAGAAACAATTAACATCTAGATTATCAAATCATACATTTTTTTATATCTTTAAAGAAGCTTATTCGCAGACTTGTGAAAAAAGACAAAAACGACATTTTATATGATAAACATTGCAAAGAAATCTCTTTGAAATTTCACAATATATTAAAAGGTTTTGATAGAAATTGTCAGGTATGGATCAGGAGAGAAGTGATAAAATATGTCTAAAAAAAAATGTAAAAAATATTATTATATTACTAACTCAGAATTGTGTTGAAATCTTTAAACAAAAACTTCAAGTTGCAATATTTAACATGTAAATTAATATAACGCCATAATGGATGCACATTTGTGTGTGAAACAAGAATGATTAAATGATCTGAAACACATTAAGTTGTATGCATAATATTTAAAAAATTTTGTATAAAAGGGGTTGTAATTAATCAGAACAATAAAGCAATATCTGTCATTTAGAATTCATCTTTTCATGTAATATAATATATAATAAAGTATATATATATATATATATATCATATATATATATATATATATATATAAATTATATATATGTATATATATTATATATTTAATATACAAAGATTCATAATGAAATGTTAATATGATTTTTTTCATAGGGGTAGATAAAGGGATATATGATACTGATTACACTTAAAGATGCAGCTATATTAATAGTAGAAAGATTAATTTGTCGTCCACCAAAAAGTTATCTGTTTATTTTCTTTGCAGACGCCGTGAAATTTGTTTACAGATTTAAAAGTAATATCTAGGCGTCAGGTTTGTTTTTACTTAAATAATAGACATTATTCTCGACTTGCAAAATAATAAATAATTATAATTTGATAACTTTATAACGAATTTTATTTAAATGATGTAATTTACAGCATTTTCGTAACTTTTATTGCTAAACAAAATATATAAATTTCCAGCCGTATTTTAAAATGGCGCACATTATAGCGTATATTACTTTAACACGCTGTAAATTTCTTTGGATTAAAAAATACATTCATTCTTCGTTTTACATTTTTTTATTTGAAAATTAAAGTAAAAAAAGAATTTTAAAAAATTCAAAAGGACCTTTTTGAGGTATCCTAAACCAGAATGTTTGCAATAAAATATATTCATAATAATTCATTTTTATAGAAAATTATTTAGTAGAACGATATTGATAAATACTCAATTTGAATTTTTCATATCTTCCTATATAAAAAGCTTTCTTTAGCAAAGAGTTTATTTCAAATTTTAATTTTCATTAATTCACTCTTTATTCTTTTCTGTTCTCATTTTCAAAGCTTTTGATTTTACAACCAAATACAATACCATAAGACTTTTGAGTATTCTTCATTAGATTTGATAATTTCTCAAGCAATAAAATTCTTATTGCATGAAATTAAGGTAGGATTCTTCTCATATTTCTAATATTTAAAAATTAATGAAATTTTCACAGAATCAAGAAAATTAAATTTGACCGTTTTATATTAGAGGCAAGGTCAGGTCAAGGTTTTTATCTTTTTACCTTGACATTAACAATAAAAAATAACGATGTTGCCACTTTTTCATGTGATACCTACTGTCTATTTCAAAAGTTTAATGAGTGTTCTTTTTGCATAAAAACATTTATTATATCGGGTTTATAGCATGATGTTACCAAATTTACATAAATAATTTAACTTAACTGGACATACAACTAAAATTTTCTTTTTTTCTTAATTTTTTGTATATATTCAGATATTTTAATATGCTTCCTATATTTAACTTTTTCAATTATTTTCATATATAATAAATGTTATTGGGAAATGTACAAAATGATACAAAAACATGAAAGTTTTGATAGTTTATGTAAGAGAGAAATAATACTTTTTATGGATTTTAGGCTCAAATCTTTTATCTGAAATGGGAACCATTTAAAAGCTGATAAAGTTTTAGTTTCATGAAAACCATATTTATTTGATATATTCTGAAAGTTTACTCATTATTAATATAAGTAACATTTGAAAATTTCTCCATTTCTCATATTGAGTAAAAATTATTCTAAATGGACATTAATATTATAATTTTAAGTCGCAGAAAACAAGATTATATTTCATATTACGCCACCAATCCGCCAAAAATATATCCCTGCTATTTTTATATATTTGCAATTTACCATTTCTATTTAAAATTGTACAATTGTGTCAAGGAAAGAAAAATATGATCTTGAAAATTACTTACATCTCAATATATTTGACATATAAGCAAATATACTTTGAATGTTTCATCTTTCAGAAACCAGAGAAGAATCCAATACTTTAATTGAAACTTACAAGTCAGTAAATATAGCATTTAGAGCTTAATTGAATAACCGGTCACGGTAGCCTATGGCTTGTTCTTATTTGATCAGGATCGAGGCCCGGGTTCGATTCTCGTTCGCGGCGCCGTGTCATACCTAAAACAAAAAAAGGTAGTGGTTGTTCCTTCTCCAAGCGCTCGGCGCTAGAAGCGAAATTCACAGGCCTTTAAGAGCATGTCTACGAGAAAACCATGCAAGAGGTTATGGGAGCAAGGTTCTCAATTTCATGTTTTGTATGTAAAATTCTTCTATAATATGAAATATTTTGCCACAAATTGTTTGTCAGTGTGGTCTCACTTAAGGTGATTCCACCCTCACAATTTTATAGGTTCTAAGTACAAAAACTGCATTTATTTTCATTAAATATACTTTAAACTTTCCAATTAAGGCAAAAAATGTATAGGTTATCATATTATTTAAGATGCGAAACATGAATAAACAGAAGTGCTTGTGAACATAAAAAATCGCACATATTTTATAAACAGTATTGTGAAAAATATGTAAAAACTGGTTAAAATTCAAAAATGCATAATTCTGATGCTGAGCGTTCCTAAATACTTCCTACTTAAAAGATACTTTTGAGTTGTGAATATCAGGGAAACTATTTTACAATAAAGCAAATGCCAGAATGAAGAGACTTTAGGAGTTACTGCCCTTGTCAACATTTTTTAAAGATTAAATAATTGATAAAATATAGAAAATATGCATTTTTATAATTCTTTAACTTAACAATATTTATCATTACATCTATTGTAAAGCATTCTTCCAAGGTATATTGTTCTAATAAGTATGAATTTAAACTAATTACAGTTTTTGCAAAAACCTATGACATCACCAGAGGGTGGAATTACTTTAAGGGGTTAAATCGACGCTATTACCAAAAATAGAATTCTTGGTCCTTATGCAGGGTGAAAACAGGAATTTTATAGGATTTTATATTTAAGAATTCAGCATTTTACTTGATAATGATTTAGTATATCCATATATGGTTGAAAGTAACAAGATACACTTGTTTCGGAAAATTTTTCATAATCACAAACTTTGCCCTCGTTTAAGTGCAAAAAAGGTCACAAATCTGGCAGATTTCCAGATTTTTGAAAACTGGTGAAAATATTCACTTTTCAAAAACCTATTACTCAGTTAGTTAACGAAATTTGGAATATTCACATGTTAAGGTCCAGATCTAGTACATAACTTGAAAATAGTTATTGGTGCTAGATCCATTATGGCGTCATAATCAATTTCAGATTTCTTTTTCCCTTACTTTACGGCTTTAGCAGAATTACATTAGAAAAAAGGGTATTTTCATGTCATTCAGTTTGAAATCATATGAAAATTAAACTGGATACCTATATTAAATTTGATACTGATTTAAATAAGAGGCCATGAACATACTAATTACTGTTTTCTGAAAGACTGTAGGCAATCTGGATACATTTCCTTTTCCGAATACAAAAAAACTCCCATATTCATGACTGGTTTTCTTAATTTTTCATTAAAAATGACAGTTTAATATACAGTTTTTCATCCTGTTTACCTACAGATTATGCCCCGAAACACCTTATTTGACCACACTAAAGTTAAAAAGCATCAATAAAGGAATTTATTTCTCCAGTTTGGTAAATCTGTAGGCACCTTTCATTTACTAGATCTTGACCTTAATAATTATTGTGATGACAATATTAGAAATAAATTAATGAATAAATTATCCCTGCAATTCAAATTAAATATATATATTTGACGAAATTCCTGGATCTTTAAAGACGTGAATTGCTTAAAATCTCTATGTGAAGTGAAATGAAACCAAAAAATGAACTATAAAATTTCCTAAAGTGAGGTTGTAGTTTTGATGTTTATTCCATATCATGATTGACATGTCTATTGACAACAGAAAAAATCCGATAACTTTCAATTGTTTCTGCTAGGAATTCTCAGTAATATAGCTGACTTCAGAGCAATTGCAGATGAAGATGTTGCTGATCATTTGGATGCGAATTACTCTTATTTGCACTGTTTCATATGGACTAAGTGAGTTGTATGCAGCGAGGGATTACGCATCAGGTAAGTACATTTTCTTTTAATTTGAAACGACCAATACATATTTATAGTAGCCATCTTCTATGACTAAAAAAAAAAAACTACTCTAGTTCTCTCTTTGGTTGAAAGTTGATCATAATAGAAAAATTGAAACTTTAATGTGGTATATAGTAAAATAAAAAAGAATTACTAGTACATGTATTCATGACATTTTCAAAAGTTTCTTAGAATCTGTGAATTTTTCATGCCTCTCTTAGAAACTGTTAGTATAAAAAGAACATGCTCTTGCATATCGAAAGATTGGGAGATACGTGTATACTGTAGATTCCTAATTATACGCGAGGAATTAATTCCAAGCGTAATTTCGCGAGAAGCATCGCTTGCAAAAAATATAACTCGCTTTTATTTTGATGGTGCTGAAATCCATGAAAATCCTGCTGATCAACGTCCATTCGCGAATTATGATTCTCGCGATTTGACATCAAAGAGCCAGTTTGTTAAAGAAAGCACTCGCGAAAAATAAGGAATCTACAGTATAAACATATGAACCTGTTGATACTATATATGTACATAAAAAAGAAAATTAAGCAATAAATATTATAAATAGCTAAGGACAAATACTTTTGAAAAAGAAAAAAATTTCCCTTTGATTTTTCCCTTTCGTTGATAAATATAAACAATACGTTTGTTTCAAATTTGTTTGAAAGTTTCAATATATTAAAACAACTTTTGCATGAAAATTAATTGATTTGTAAAATAGGATGTAAATTGTTTTCAAGGTTTACATGTATTTCAATCTGACTAAGACAATGTAAGGCAGGCAACATTTTAAAAAAAGTTTTCCCAAGCATGAGAAAAATTCTTTTTTAAATATTGGAACTATAGATTTCCTATCTAGCTGTGGTTTTCTTAATTTTTCTCAAACAATTCCATTTATTAATCTGATTTTTGTACATGTTACAGCTCGACTCATTCCAGTAGAATACTCAATTTTAACTTCTTCAATATTCTCCTATACTTGTTTGTTTGTTTAATGTCAATTTATAGTAAAATAACTATTTTCATCCGTTTTTATTTCAAACCAATTGTAATCCTTTTGTTTATATATTTTTCAATCAAATATTTCGTGCGTCTCATAAATACATAGGGCTCTCGGCAGGTCAGACCAGTCAACAGGGATACTTACTCCTCCTACGCACCTAATCGCATCTGTGGAACTTTTTGGGTGTATTATCTTCTACAGAGCTTCGTATTCTTTGTAGTGATTTTTGGTGATCAATGCCGGTTCGCTCTATCATTTATAAAATGATACACTTTTTAAACTTTTGATTTGAATCCTTAATCTAAAAAGATGTGTTTTCAGTCAACTGTAATTTTGAAAATGGAACATGTGGATGGACTTGGCAGAAGGATACGGTAGCTCTCAATAAAATGACGCCCCTGTGTGGAGCCTACGGTAATCTATTTAATTGTGGTAAAGGATACCATGTCCAAACTGCAACTTGGTGGAAGCGAATACGGATTTCCTCAGCTGTAAAATATTTAAATTGTAGGTATTTCTTCAATAGTGAAATTCCTTATACCCTTTATTCTTGCTTAGGAGAATCAATCTATATGTAATTTTTTTATTTTAAAACAATTAATACAATTTTAACAATGCATGCTTAATTAACGTAGTAAAATCAAACAGATCTTAAAGTCACTTTTTATACTATTACTCATCGATCACATAAAATGAATATTAAAAAAAACTAGTACTGGTATAATTTTCACTCCTTTGTACTTTTAGATGAGTACATTTTAATATTTCGTCTATTCTGCAGCTCTAGTTGGGCTTAAGGTTACTGATTCTACCCGTAAGCAGATGGAAAAACTTGAGGACAACTACGTCCTACTATCGTCAATAAATTACAGCAATACATTTATCTATGTTCACACCATGGACGCAGTCAGTATAGAGATCCCACTTGCAATAAGAGGTCATCGATGTCTTCATTACAGCTACGTTGTATTTGGTCCTAAGGCCACGCTAGTCGTTGCATACATAACTAACTATCTACAGCCTTATTATCTTTGGGAATTTTTAAACGTACATGATAAGAGTTCTGTGATCAGGTTCAGAAGAGCATCTGCGACTCTTCCCCTTGGAACCAACTTTAAGGTAAAGATAGGTGTTTCTTGATATTTCGATTTAATCATCCTTTTATGATACTCATTATAGTTAAAGTTAACAAAATTGAAATCTTTATATTTATAAAAATATTGTATGCAGAAAAATTGTGTCCCGTCTTTATATTTGGTTTTATTGAACAATACTGCTAACAACTGATTTATCACTAAGAAGATCCTTCTATCTCATATAACAATCTTAAAAATGTTTTATATATCAACAGGTGGTTTTTCGAGCCTACTTTTATATTTGGCCTCGAGCTACTTCTTTTGTCCTCCTTGACAACATATCCATTACAGAAGGAATTTGTAGTACGTATGATAATCAAATTTTTTGTGGGGTCAGTTTTTCGAGGTCTGAGGGAATAAATATTGGTTTATAAGGACTCGTTTCGAGGTGGATATAAATTCATGAGTGTCCCATACCTCGAAAACAACAAAAATGAAACCCAAGGAAATCATGATTACTTAGTACTAAAGATTATAGATATATGCTTTACCATGGTGATTTGAGATCCTTATATCATCAACTTTTTTGTCTATAACTTATGTAGTTTAAAATCAGAAATAAGCTATCATCTACAGTAATTTTTTTAAAGACAACTGTTTTTGTTTATCTATGTGCATATAGTCCTATATATTATTGTAAAAAGTTGTAAATTTTCAATGGCAATTTAGATTTAAGACATGGAAGAGGACCATGTAAGTTTTTGGAACTTATTCAATCCAATTGACATGATGTCAATACAATATGTTCAAAACAATTTTTTTAGAAAGAGCACCAATTTGCTTTGCATTTGTATGATTTTAGAAACATGCAGTCCTGATGAATTCAGATGCAGCGCTGACCGGGATGAATGTATTCCACTATTTAAAGTTTGTGATCTTGTATCTGATTGTCTGAATGAAGAGGATGAGACGCTTTGTCGTGAATGTTATTGACAGTCTTTGCTTTTCACCCATTTTTAACACGAACGACGTGTTACTGTTTTCTCAATAATCCCATAAAATATAAATTCAATCATAACGTTTGTCATTTCTTTAGTTGCATTTGTAAGGAAAAAATAGAAAATAAAAATTTTTGAAGCAAAAAGGCAACTTTCCTCTTCTAGCATATTTTCGAGAACCCAATCTGTTGCGAGCATTGAATGGGAGTTTCCGTTTTTCTGTTCTTATGCCCCAATATTTGTGTTTTCTTATTAAATATTTATACAATGCAATTTTTTTTTAATTTCAGGGAATATCAGTAGATCCCTTTGCAGTCAAGACCAGGTCTTGAGTTCTCAGAATTTATCCAGACGACATGAGGAAGATCAGACACAATATGCCCCTGCCACAAATATTTGCCGTGACTGGGATCAATGCCCCATGAATTCCTCGAGCACTTGTTTTCTACATTGTCTTTTTAACTGTTCCTGTGTTGGTTTGTCTGTTAGTTGTTCGGCTTCAAATGCCCCGGTTTATGCTGTCTCTGTGTCTTTCAATGGTTTACTGAATGAAAATATAGTAATAAGTGGAAGTCTGTTTCCAAACCTGAAACGAATTGTCATCACAAATTCTATAATTGGTTCACTTAATATTAGCAAAGAACATATAGAGATAATGTCTATCCAAAAAAGTAAGATTACCAATGTTTTCTTTCATAAAAATTCCTTCCGATACATAAATATCAACGAATCTTCATTTGAAAACATGTACTTTTTTCATAATTTTGATAGGTATATCTTTGATATTTTAGAATTCAATGTTCAGAAAAGTTATTTGAATAATACATTTGATTTTGTTGTTCCATATCGTTTAAGGAATAACTTTACATTTGAATCCCATGTTCTGACTGGTTTATTGAACAAAACGGACTCTAAAATAGAAGAAGGAAAGGGTGTCCGTCTAAAAATGGTGGAAACAAGGGGATTTCATCACATGCTTGAGAAACTTCGCTTTACTGTGGTTGATTTTAGTAGTAGTTTTTTAACTGATCAGCCAGATACATACTATGAAACATATACGCTTAATTTAAGCCACAATCGTTTAACCACATGGCATATAGTGTCTTTGATACAAGTTTTACATCTTCAGCATAATTTGATAGTTTCGATCAATTACACCATTGACCTTGGCATATCAGAGGCCCGGCTTCATTATCTTGATTTATCGTATAATAAGATTGAAAGAATAGCCAATAATGAATTAGCTGTCTTAAACAACCTCATGTATCTTAAACTTCAACACAACGTCATAAGTTACATTCATCCAAGAGCATTTTTAAAATTATCTGAACTGATATATTTAGATTTATCAAATAATCAACTCCGTGATTTGGAACGCAGTCATTTTATTCATCTCTTAAATCTTCGCTATCTTTATCTTCAAAACAATAACCTGAGGGTAATGGAAGGAATGTTTGATGGCCTCATGAATATTCAGTATCTGCAAGTTGATTCGTACACACTTTGCTGTGCACAACCAAAGGCTGTCAGTAAAATCCAGTGTTTGGCACCCGTAAACGAAATATCCTCCTGCAACGATTTAATAGACATCCCTCTTCTCAGTATAGCAATATGGTACATGGCCCTTTTGGCTGTCTGTGGAAATTTGTTTGGTACATGCCATAAACTGCTTTTGCTGAATAAGAAATCAAGTTTATGTAAACCATTCGATATTCTTTCTATCAATCTTGGTTTCGCAGACTTTCTAATGGGTGTTTATCTTTACATCATAGCAGGAGCTAATTTAAAATTCAGCGATCGCTATGGTTTTGAGGATTTTTTGTGGAGAAATAGTCCTTTATGTACTTTTGCCGGTATCCTAGCTACTCTATCTAGTGAAGCATCCGCTCTTTTTGTACTTTTTATCACCATTGACAGAATTTTGGCCATTCCATTTCCATTTTCATTGCTGAATAAGAAAATCAAGATTGCAAAGATCATTTCCATGTTAGTGTGGATGATTTCTTTCTTGTTGTCATTACTGCCCTTATTTGGGATTGAGTACTTTAAGGATTATTACTCCGGTTCTGGAGTGTGTATCTCTTTACCTTTATCAGTTCTCCGGAAACCTGGATGGGAATATTCTATGGTACTCTTTGTGGGGGCAAACTTTGCCATCTTTATAATTGTTCTCCTTGGGCAAATGCTCATATTTATGGATGTTGTTCGATTTGAGAAGAAAGGGAATCGACAATCGTTTTCCCCAAAACGAACAGAAATAAATATAGCCAAATCCCTAATGGCGGTTGCAGTTACAGATGTGCTTTGTTGGGTTACCATCGGAACTATAGGTAAGGAAGTGTTAACATGTATTTTATACTCAGGTACATTGCAATTTAAAAAAAAAATCAATCATGTACATTCAGTTAAACTACAAATATAAGTTTATGTGCAACAAATTGCTTGCTCTAAAATGATTTGTCTGTTTTTTAGGGTTTCTGACATTTATGGGAATTGACGTCACCAATAAGGTGTACGCCTGGGTCATTGTTGTTATTCTCCCAATAAATTCGGCACTGAATCCTCTGATCTACCTGTTTTCTGTGATGATGAATCGTGGTGAAGAACAGAGATGTGGTTCTTAAACCGATGAACAGGTTGTTTTAAATATATTCATTGTTGTAAACCTAATCATAATGTACATGTGCAGTGTACATGTTGGTTGTGTTTTTAACCAGATGATTAAAAGGTACATGCATGATTTTAATTTTTTTATACAAACACATTTTTTTATCTTTCGATAGATAAAAAAAGAAGTTTTTAAATAAATAAATATTTTATAATTGTAATCTTTTCAGAGATCTTCTTGGACATCAAGCTTTACAAGTAACACAATAACAAAGGACGGATCAAAGAAGTATCAGGTATTTCCTTTTCAATTTTCTTTTGAAATGCTTACTATTGCTTTCAATAAATGTCTTTTTAAACATTTAAACATTTTTTCTTTAGGTATCAACATCGGGTGGTAGACAAACCAATTTTGTCCAGCCATGGATCCAAAATGAAGAAAAACGAAAGAATTCGAACATTCAGGTCATTTCCTTGCAACGTCTAAAAGTCGATTAAGATTTTCTTTGCTTAAATAAAAGAAGTATTTCGTTTTGGAAGATGATTTGATCTATGCTTGGTTATATTTTGACGGAGAAAGCAATTGTTTTGCTCTAAGCAAATGCTCTAAGCAAAAGCTCTAAACTTGAAAACGTTTTCCAAGGTAAATTAACAGTTCAAATTGCGTCATATTTACAGTCAACTGTGTTCTCTGTTTGACATCTAGTTGGATTATTTGAAGATTATATGATATGCCGGGTAGGCTTGGCTGTCATGAAATATCACATACATTTCCGGATTTCTGAGATTATTACAGGCAGAGTCATAAGTCACGTGACTTCCGGCACCTGGTTTCGGTGGAAGTACATTCATGTTACTATTACCCATACAATGATCACCAGTCGCAACTTGGACAAAGAACATGTGCTTGTTTCTATTTGAGTCGAGTCCGCAATATCCAGCAGAGTAGGACGCATCCACAGCAAAATAAACCTATAAATATTAAATCCATTGTTGATAACTTTATCTACAGTGTCTGGGTACGTCCCATGCCACAACCATTGCTGGGGGTCTTTTCCATTCTTTACTTCGATTTCCTTCCGTTTTGCAACATACTGCTGATACAGATATGGGTTTTGCACCCTGCGTATCTATGTAAATAGACAAATATTTTTTTTCCATTAGAAAAAAATGTCATATTTAAAACTTCAACAAACAATAAAATTAGGTTAATTAAGTACTTCTAATCTCCTAGCCTGATCCCATTTCTGGAATTTCCAGGAATCTGCATTCCTGCCCTCTTCACAGAATTGGAATACTTATCAGCAGACTCGTAAAAAGTAATTATTTCGTAAGTTGTATGGTCGATACACGAGTTGTCAGCAAATACAA